GGTCTGACAAGAACCAGGATTTTAGATTCTGACCCAGACCTGATCTAAGGTGGTCCAAATGTTCAAAATGGCTGATGTAGGGGTCACCTCGAGTGAAGAAACAGGAGGCATGATAAAAGAATAGAAGTGATACTTTCTTTCTTGTGACATTTCATTATTATGATTAACAGATGCATAAACATTCTTAGTTAAACAACCAATGAATCACGAACAGAACAGATTGTTTCTGTTTAATATCTGATTAAGAGAACTGAAGTCCTCGTGTAGGTTGAAATGACCCATCATGGCCTAAAATAGGGTTCAGCGTTCCTGCCTYCTCTCAGGCCTGTGCGAGACCTGCTTTGAGGCAGTAACTCCTGTTTCTTCACTCGAGGTGACCCCTACAATTGTGTGGGCTGGGTCAGGGACTACAGGTAGAAACTAACACCCAGAGCTATAACTTGATACAGTGCACTTTTCCTTCTATGGCTAATGCATACTGTATATTGTCCCTGTTTTTAAAAATAAAGGTAACAAAAAATAAACAAATAAAATTTCTTTGAAGACTCCTGAACAGTTCTGACACGAAAATCTAATGTGTCTGATTTATTTACGTATAAGAAAAGTGATAACTGCAGCAATACACACATTTTTCATTTCTATTGGTTTGTATCTCATTAAACAAACTGCAAATATATTGTAGTTAGCCTGCAGTTATTAAATCCTACTTTATTTATTTATTTATTTATTTATTTATTTATTTATTTATTTATTTATTTATTTATTTATTTATTTATTTATTTATTACTTAAAACTGTACCTCAATTCTCTGGTGTAGTATACACGCCCATTTCCCCTCACCTCATCTTGCCACTGATTGACCTTTGACCACCTGAGGTCAAAGCTCCTCTCACAGACCAGACTGAACTCTCTTTTCAGCTCTCAGAGCTATTAAAAAAATAAGCCATTTCACTGTCCACTTTTCTCTTGGGAAAAGTTCATGTTCTCAAGGATCTGTTATTTTGCTGATAAAACAAGTCAAAGCAAATGTTCTTTTTATTTCAGCCTGTTCCTCTCACATGGATAATTCAAATGCTTAAACCCCTTTAAAATCTATGACTTTGTTGTTAATTTCCAAGAGCTCTATAGTAATAGTTATTTTTATAAGTTTGCATTTGATGCGATGTGATTTCTTTGTTTAGACCATGTTTAGAAATTATGATGTAGTGTTAACAGAATATGTTTTATTTATCGATGCTCATGCCTTTAGCTTTTTACATTTTCTGTTTTTGATAAACATTTCTTAAACAATTTTTATTTGTTAACAATGTTTATGAGTTTACTAATAGTAATTCACAATTAATCATTAGTTAATTGAAATATTAGTTTAATGTTTCTCTGAAGAGTTGAGTTAGTTGCTCATAATGTTCTTGTGTTCTGATGACCTTGGGTACACACCAACACAAAGACACACACACAGTTCTTATGGGAGCTCTGAACACCTGCAGAACTCTCTCTCACACACACACTCTTCCTGTTTCTTCAAAAAAAAGTTTGTTCCTTCCTGTTCGTCAGTCTTTTGCTCATCTGTCCGCCCACATCACCTTCTTGTCCTCTACTGGAAGTCAGTCAATATTTCCAGTTCACCTGCAGCATAATTTTCTACCTTTTTACAAGGAGATACCACCTTTTTGAAACTTCAACTTGCTGTGAGTTCCTGGTAGACCCTGCCGGTTCTGATCTGCTATCGCTTTGCCTAAAGACCGAACCCATGAGAAGGCCTCTGCCCCACGTTGGCTGACAAAGAGAGTTAAGGTGTGTGCCATTCACCAGACATACTCCTCAAGAAGTTCTCTGTCCACCTGCCTCGTTGGAAGTGCTGGTCCGGACAACGGTAATGGCTGAAAGCTCATAGAGCGAGTAAAATAAGTATTGAACACGTCATCATTTTTCTCAGTAAATATATTACTAGAGGTGCTAATGACATGAAATTTCCACCAGATGTTGGTAACAACCCAAGTGATCCATACATACAAAGAAATCAAACCATAAATGTCCAGAAATGAAGTTATTTGTAATAATGTGGAATGGCACAGGGAAAAAGTATTGAACACATGAAGAAAGGGAGGTGTAAAAAGGCATGGAAAGACAAGACACCAGCTGAACTCTCTCAGTAATTAGAAAACAAGCCTGCCTCTTGTCAGTGCAAGTTAATATCAGCTGGTTCAGTCCCAAATGATGGCCAGGTATCACACAAGAACCATCTGATGATGGGTAAAAGTAAAGAGCTCTCTCAAGACCTTCACAACCTTATTGTTGCAAAGCATAATGATGGCATCGGTTACAGAAGAATGTCTAAACTTCTGAAGGTTCCAGTGAGCACTGTTGGGGCCATAATTCAGAAGTGGAAAGAACATTATTTCACCATAAACCGACCACGACCAGGTGCTCCTCACAAGATTTCTGACAGAGGAGTGAAAAGAATTATCAGAAGAGTTGTCCAAGAGCCAAGGACCACTTGTGGAGAGCTTCAGAAAGACCTGGAATTAGCAGGTACGATAGTTTCAAAGAAAACAATAAGTAATGCACTGAACCACCATGGCCTGTATGCACGCTCACCACGCAAGACTCCACTGCTGAAGAAACAGCATGTTGAAGCTCCTTTAAAGTTTGCTGCACAACATTTAGACAAGCCTGTGAAATACTGGGAGAATATAGTCTGGTCAGATGAGACCAACATTGAACTGTTTGGATGCCAGAATACACATCATGTTTGGAGGTCAAATGGCACTGCACATCAGCCCAAAAACACCATACCAACTGGTGGGAACATCATGGTGTGGGGCTGTTTTTCAGCATATGGTACTGGCAAACTTCAAATAATTGAAGGAAGGATGAATGGAAAAATGTACAGAGACATTCTTGATAAAAATCTGCTTCCATCYACCAGGATGATGAAGATGAAACGTGGCTGGACATTTCAGCAAGACAATGAGCCCAAACACAAAGCCAAGGAAACTCTCAGTTGGTTTCAGAGAAAGAAACTAAAGCTGCTGGAATGGCCCAGCCAATCACCTGACCTGAATCCAACAGAAAATCTATGGAAAGAACTAAAGATCAGAGTTCATAGAAGAGGTCCACGAAACCTTCAAGATTTGAAGACTGTTTGTGTGGAAGAATGGGCCAAAATCACACCTGAGCAATGCATGCCACTAGTTTCTCCATACAGGAGGCGTCTTGAAGCTGTCATTGACAACAAAGGCTTTTGTACAAAGTATTAGATAAATTTCAGTAAGTGTGTTCAATACTTTTTCCCTGTGCCATTCCACATTGTTACAAATAACTTCATTTCTGGACATTTATGGTTTGATTTCTTTGTATGTATGGATCACTTGGGTTGTTACCAACATCTGGTGAAAATTTCATGTCATTAGCACCTCTAGTAATATATTTACTGAGAAAAATGGTGACGTGTTCAAGACTTATTTTCCTGCTGTATGTCCCAGGCCTAAAGCTCACACAGCAAATAATCTAACTTTAAAAAGAAAACTCTTCAGAACCTTAAGAGATCTATTTGTGTCTATTTGTCTGTCTCTCTCTCCCACTCTCTACTATTCTCTTTTTCTCTGCCTCTCACACCAAAATCAAACACACACCCACATAATACCCACACACACACATACATTGACCCAAAATGAATTAATCTGCTTTTGCTTAGATAAACTGTTAGACAAGTTGCTTGAAAATTAGAAACAATAACGTTTTAGTGAGAGCCCATTTTTATTGTTCATTGTGTGTAACTACAAATATCAATCATTTATTAATCACTTTTACTAAAAGTCAGTTAACTTTAACTGGCCAAAATAAACCTGAACGACTTTGTTTGTTTCTTGTGTTTGTCTGATCGACTCATTTTGCTCCAACAGTTCCATTCCGAGCCAGGGAGGAGAACTCTTATTAAAAATCATATTTAATGGTTTTCAATGGGGGGAGGGGGGGGGTTCGCTACAAATCAAAGAGAGATTGTGAAGTCTATATGTTAGAAGCTGTAGGAGGAGTTTGCTCAGATACATGTGTCTAAAAGACAAAATGGCAGCTTTGATCCAAAATGGCCAACTCTTTCCATGGTTCCAAGAGACTTTTTTGTAAGTCCTGATATGCTACGCATTTGTATCACATTTTAGGATCCTTGGTCAAAGCATGACTGATTAAAAAAAAATTCTATGGGTGCTGTGGAGGAATTAGGCACCACCCACCAAAACATGAACAGACTCTTTGACCCAAAATAAACGACTTCCTGTTGGGTTTAGGGCTAAAACTACAAAAATTTCAGTCAGGGGACAATTTTGGGTGAACTTAGGTGAGTTGTAAATGTTTAGACCTCCAAAGATACTTATTTTCTGAGGATAATCATAATAATAAACATTAGAATAACATTAAGCCTTCGCAGTGCTTTGCTGCTCTGGCCTATTAAATGAAACCACAATGAAGAAAGCCAAAGAAGAATCACGAAATACAGACAATAAACAATTACAAAAAAGGGAAAAATGCACAAGTGTAAAGTGTCAAAACATGGCTAAAATCTGCTTAAAGCTGCTCAGTAATCTTAGAGAATTACTGATGTTGTGAAATACTAACTGTGCTCTTTTAACTGTGTCTGACCTTTAAGATGAAGCAGAAGTTGGTGGGAGCTCTGTACTTCTGTTTGTAGTCACTGGTCATGTAGATGTTGACTTTATCAAAATGGACAAAACAGGCAAGATCAGAAGATGACTGGAACAGAGAACAACAATTTTACAAATGTTTTACACGTTTGAGGACACTCATCAACAAATTACATCTTTAATGAATATACTTTTATTTCAAATGTTTTAGTTTATTGTGTATGTTCTAAGTCTGTGACAATATTTTAAAATCAAACGTAAAGATAAATGCAAGATTATTTCAATTAATTAAAATTGATAAGAAAGATAGCAGCATGGTTTTATTTGATATGCAAGAATCATCTAGTAGCCAGTCATTACTGAATATTTTCAGAATTTATTGACGTGATTTTTGGTGATATTTTAAATTTGAAGTCCAAATAAAAATGAGGATGAACATAGAACTCAATGAGTTCACTATCCAACTGGATAATTTTGTTTATATATATATCCACCCCGCCACCTTCCATCAAGAAAAACAAAATGTAAACCCAAAATTCAAACTTCTATCCTTGGAGTTGTAAAAAAATATGGAACATCATCCAATGAAACAAATTTTACTAATTTGTTCCAAGGACATTACATGTGCCAAACGTTTAAAACACCTCTATAAGCTAAGCCCATTTTAGACCCATTTCATTAATCATCTTTCATACCTTTGTTTTGCCTTTAGGTACATAGTAGATCCCCGAGGCCCTGAGCACGAAGTAACGAGGTTTCCAAACCTTCTTCCCATCCTCCTTCAGATACAACATCCCTTCAAGATCAGGAACTATCTGTGTAGATCCTCCAAAATTCTCCTGTGAAGGATGACATTCAGTATAAGCTTCACAGTAAATTGAGCAAAAAGAATCCACATGATAAAGTGTTGCAGTGCTACCTTGATTAGAAGCTCTTTGGCCTGATTGTTAATGCCACACAAATTAGCTTTGGACTTTTTCCACAGGTAGAACAGCTGCACGTTGAGAAAAGCATTAATGACAGACTGAACCGTGGAATCAGCACGAAGCAACCTCTCTCTTCCTCACCTGAGGCTCTGTGAACATCACATACTTCTGAGGTCTCAACAAAAAGTAGATTTTGTTTTCGCTGTGTCGAGTCCAGGCAGACAGCCGTTCCACCAGGTTCTCGTGATCTTCAAAGCTTCTTTCTGGAAACATTTAAAAAATAAATACATTTTAATAAGAACCTCAGAATGAATTTGTTTGATATTTTCAGTGTGTGTCTGTGTGCGTCAGGGTCATCTCACCAATCTGCAGCTCAGGATTGGTCTCACACAGACTCCAGTTGATGCTGCAGTCACAGTGTGTCTTCTCAAACAACTTGTCCAGAACCTCTCGCACCGTCTGCCTCTCATCCACCATCAAAGTCTTGGAGCTGTTGTCACTCATCACCACCTTTATTATTAGCTAACAGGAGCAGAATGCTTCTTATTAGACTGCATTACTGCCTGCTGGAAACTGGATACTTTAAGTGAGGTTTTTTTTTTTTTACCTTCCTCACTTTGGCTTCCTTCAGCTTCTCCAGAGCTAGTTTAACTTTGTCTGCCTTTGACTGGGGTTCTTCCTGGCAACAACATATACAGTTGCACAAACAAGTTTTACTTTTTAAGAAATTCCAGTTTTATCTCTAATATCAGATGTAAATGAGGTCTTCACCTGTCTGAGTGATTGTGCGGTCAGTCTGGTGCAGGTATCAGCTGGCATAAACTCCCGAGACACAGCCAGTGTTGAGGTTTGATCGTCTACAAGGGTGATGATCCCATCATGAGTGGAAGGTTCTTGTGGAGGTAACCCTGACCTGAGGTCAGCCACCAAAGCATCCAGGTCGTGGTCCTCCAATTCATGAAGAGACTCTGTGAGGAGGTGAGGTAGAAGGTCTGATATCAAAACTCCAAGACGGAGAATAAATAAGGAATCATTCAGCTAGAGGGGCGTCAGGGCATCTTACTGACGCCCTGTTCTGTTCTACGACGCCCTCTTTCAGCTGGCAATGCCTCAGGATGCTCTGCTGATCTTCAGTCCAACTTTTGTTTTTGCTCCACGTAAATTTCATAAATTTCAACAAACTAACCGCAATTATTTTGTGAAGCCAGAGGAAGACACAAAGAATACACTGAAACAACTTGGATAGAGGTTTGTTAAGGCCCCCACATACTCGGGCGTACTTCGGTCCGCGGAGGTCCGCGTGGACTCAGTGCGGACCCGAAGTGGACGCCCGCCGGATTGGTCCGTGCAGAGATCAATTTTTTTTACGTCCACGTCCGTCGTGCACACAGTGGCACGTTCTGGGTGCAACACCAAGCTGATAAAGTTGAGAATCGGTTTCATTTGTGGATGAAATGGAGTAAAATCTTGAAAAGTGTCTCATGGAGGAGATTAGAAAACTTTATGATGCGTCAATGAAGGAATATAAAGACTTTCAGCGAGCAACAAAATTGTGGGGAGGAAATAGCTCAGATCCTGGGTAAGGTAGTTCTTTTCTTTTTTCCTTTTGTTGTTTTGAAGCTAAAATGCAAACTATCTATTCCTCCTGATCCTTGACATCATGATTGAAATTGCGAGAAATTAAAGAATTCGTCAGGCGGTCAGTACGCTCGAGTATGAACTCTCAACCGTCCGTGGACAATATGTGTGGGGTCTGCGCGGCTCATGGAATGCGCAGAGTATGCCGGAGTATGTGGGAGCCTTAATGATGTCACAGTTTCAGTAGCTGTAATGTTACAGTGGTTTGCAAAAGTATTCATACCCCTTGAACTTTTCCATATTTTGTCACATTACAACCACAAACATAAATATATTTCACTGGAATTTAATGT